GCGTGTGTGTGTGTGTGTGTGTGTGTGTGTGTGTGTGTGTGTGTGTGTTTGTATATGTATGTGTGTGTCCCATGTGTTGTCAAGCAGAATTTCACCAGAGCAAGTGAAGATATCTTGAGAAAATGCAAGACAGAGATATCCAAACCTTTCTTTTGATAATATATGTTTGTATTGTTCAGATGCACAGTGTGTGAAAGACACAACACTCTTATGCTGTTAATAGAAAACCTCAACAGGCTTCATTTCCAGTCATTTCTGATGACGAAAGTTGCATCTCCACAGTAGAGATAGGAATCATTCAATTCAGTTTCTCCTAAAACAATCCTATCACAATGATTTGACCAGTGATGAAAATCAGATGACAATAGATGTGATTTATTTATTACAATCCAGTTCTATCTGTTTTTAATGTCATTACATTGTGACTGGCAGGCTGAGAGACATTTAGATACATAGAAAGATATATGGATGATACAAATGAGACAAGTGGAAGAATCTGAGCAGACAGGGAGGAGAGGACATCTGGACCGCCAACTTCAATTATGAACACTGACCGCTCCCCTTTCGCTGTGTCTCCTCCCCTCCTTCTCCTCTCTCTAAATTACCAACTGGGTTTTGGAGGGATAGGACCGGAGAGACAGATGGCAAGAAAGAAGCGTGAAAATTAAGAAACTACATTTAGATAGAGTAAGACTCAGCAGATGGACAGAAACACAGAAAGAGAGGCAGATACTAAAACAAAGCACTGGATTAGTCAAATTTCCACCTGCAAGCTGAGGCTCAGATCCTCTTACAGTACATCCCTCCTTTAACATCCACTATGTCTTCATTCTTTCTTTTCCTATGCATACTGCCTCCCTCAATCCCCTTGCTGCGTAAGTTTTTCATTTCAAGCTCCGCTGCCGAGACCACAACCTCATCGGTTGTTGGGCAAAAAGCGAGACATTGAAATAGTGACAAAGAAAGGAACAGGTGGAATGAGCGTTTTAGTTATACAATATGAGAGGGGGAAAGAGGAGTGATAAGAAAAACTGGTGAGGAAAGAAAATAGCTGGGATGTTGAGGTGGAGGCAAATGGAGAAAAGAGAGAGGGGTGAGGCGAGTTGAAGAGAGGATTACAAAAGTAGAGGAGGAGAGGTACTAAGCTATGCTTTGGGTCACACCGGCAGCGGCAACATTTCTGGACAGGAGGAACCTCAAGTTAACCACTTTCTCTCACACACACACACACACACTTTCTCACCAACACACACAGAGGTGAGGGCAGACACACAGGCCAATCACTGCTGCTAACAGCTGTGCTGCAAAGTGAGATATGACCTGCTGCAGTGATACAGCACTAAAAAAGAACCGCAGGTGAAGCACACAGACACACATCAACACAGATAAAGTGGAAGACACACATCATTATAACACACCCAATGTAATGTGACATACAAGCACATATACTGTACACACTGATAACAGCATACAGGCTGAGTAACATGAGCCCTACGGATGACACACACGGGTATGCACTGCAAAGCAAACATGATACAAACACACTCATATACACACATATGTGCCCTTAGACACATAAAAACAAACTCACACACAGACACACACATACACACACACACACACACACACACACACACACACACACACACACACACACACACACACACACACACACACACACACACACACTCTCTCTC